TTTCCTAATCTTCATATCATTGATCTTTCTCATAATGGATTTATTGGCCTTCTACCAACAGAATACTTCAAGAGGTGGAATGCTATGGCAGATGTTGATAATGAGAAAACAACATATTGGCAAGCATATAACAATTCTATGACGAATAACATATTCTTTACCAATCCATGTCCTTACTCAATGGTGATAACAAACAAAGGAGTGAAGATGGAATATGCAAAGATTTTAGAGGTTTTCTCTGCCATTGATTTTTCTTGCAACAAATTTGAGGGAGAGATTCCAGAAGTAGTTGGGAGCTTAAAGGGACTTCAACTGCTTAACCTTTCCAATAACATTCTTGTTGGTCCAATCCCATCAACCTTGGGAAATCTCACAAATCTTGAAGCTCTTGACCTTTCTCAAAACAAGCTCACAAGAAACATTCCCACGCAGCTAACACAGCTCAATTTTCTTGAAGTCTTCAATGTGTCTCACAACCATTTGACAGGATCTATCCCGAAGGGCCAGCAATTTGATACATTTGATAACAGTTCATTTGATGGGAATTCAGGGCTGTGTGGATTGCCATTATCAAGGAAATGTGACAACTCGAAGGCCTCACCTCCACCATCTTCAACCTCTAAAGGAAATGAGGACTTTGGATTGCTAACTGAATTTGGTTGGAAAGTAGTGGCATTGGGTTATGGATGTGGACTCCTTGTTGGTGTGGTGATTGGAAACATTGTCTTCGCAAGAAAACGTGAGTGGTTGATGAGGACTTACCGAATCAGGCTGTCAAGGAGGAGAAGGATGGGGAGGATCCAGTGAAGATGAATGTTTATCTGTTGGTGGTAGCCTTTGGTTATGTATTTCTTTTGCCTACATTTCTCTGTTTTTTCCTCTTTTTGTTTTGTGTGTGTGGATTTTAATTCAAGTAGATGGAGTGCAAAACCAATGTATAGTGTGGATTGTTGTACTTTAAAGCTGCATCAATAAATTTCACTTCAACTTCATTAGCTGCCTAATGTGAAATACTCTTTTCCTTTAATAAGAGCTCGGCATCATCTCGGCGTCATGAACGACACTGCCTCGCCGAAGATTCTGGTAAGGAGATTCTGCCTCGCCAAAGCGTGAATTTTGCATACAAAACTGACTACCGGCGGTCCATCTGGAGGTGCCTGAGGAACGAAATTGCGGAACCGGAGCTACTGAAACGCCAACCATGGTACACGCATTGCTATCTCCTCCATTGTTCAATTCCCCCTTCAGACAGTGGAGCCAACCGATGAGGGCAGGAATCATCTATCCCACCACACCACCAAATTAAGCCCCATCACTTTCTTTGCATGCGGCACCCTCTTACCCAAATCATACGCCGGCATAACCGGGTACCACTCTGAATATCAGTCAAATTTCTCCCCCAGTTTCAGGTTCAAGCTCTGAATCAGGAGGGCC